GACAGCGACAGCAACAACAACGGCAACAGCAACAACATATTGGATGCTGAGCGAGCTGGCTCTGCTTCCTGCGGGCGTGTCTGAAACTTCGGAGTTTGCCGTTGCGTCCGTGGCGAGCTGGCCGGAAAGCGGTGTACAACACAAAGGCGTAAAGAAGGAAACCATGGGGGCCTTGCAGCGTGCAAGCAGGTCACTGAGAGCTTTCACCGTCAGGAGGATGGCGGTGATGAGGCGCCCGATCTTGCTGCTCAGGGCTTGGACTTTCCAGGCCCGCCGCCTCACTCGTTGGTGGTCTTCGAGGGGCACGGGTGGGCCTGGCTAGCAGCTGCTGACGTGGTTGACAGGCGATATGTTGCTGGCGAGTAGACGGCGACGACTTTGGCATCGTGCTGCTCGATCGAAACACTTTAGTAAGGAAACCATGGCACGCCCTTGACAACAGACCTACCGGCATTCCAATAGAGGTGAAGCAGCCTTATAGGGATCAGAAACAGGTTGTGGCACTCGGCTTGCCCAATAAGCTGTTGCAGCTTTTTCTCCAAGGGCCTCGTGCTAGCCATCAAGCATAAATGGACCATGAACAAGAACACAGAAGCTAAGTACACGAACAAGAAACAAGACCTGATCACCAAGGCCACTCCACCCATATATAGGATCCTCAGAAAAGGAAAAAGAAGTGAGGCGAAGTGCCACGGCACACTGTACAATACAGTGCTGTGGCATCTCCTGGACATTTGCTTGGAGGAGACAGGTCTCTTAACTATGCCACCAATCCAATCATATCTAATCCGCCAAGGCCACAGGCCCTGGCGTATTGGGGGTTAGCTCATTTACTTCGTTTCCCCCCTCCCCTGCCGCTTCATTTTGCCTGTCCTTTGCCCCCCCCCGTTCAAGGTGAGACTGCCTGCGACACCCTCAGTGCGAGTCACTGCGTCCAATACTCACGAACTGGCTCCCAAGAGTTCCCGTCTGGAGAAGTTCAAGAAATCTCGTCTCGACAGGTTCCTTCAAGGCACCCAAGTTCAGAAGACGGCCAGCTGCGGATAGGAACTGCTCCTTCCCTCGCTTTCTTGCGCCAGGTCCTTTTGTAAACATAGAAACATAGGCTGGGGAAAAGCACCGAAGCACAATCGGCTCGCCATCCGGTAATGTCGAAACGCCATGTGCAAACCAAGTACTGCTCCTTCCACCGCGTGAAGAGGTGGAAACCACATTGCTTACCTCCAGCCTTCCAGAAAGAGCTGTCGAGAGGAGGCCCGGAAATTGGCACCCGGCAGTACGCAGAAGCTGTTTGGCCAAGGCCGAGGATATCGCTCAGTCAGAAGGCCACAACTTGCGAAAGAGGCCTGTTCCGAGACTTTCGCCGTTGTGCCTACAGCCCCGTTAGCACGAACTACACAGCGTGCTATGAGCAACAGTAACCACAACCACAACCACACACAGACACACACACACACACAAGCACAACGACACACAAACAGAAAGACGACAACAACAACGACGACGGCAGCAGCAGCAGCAACGGCAACAACCACAACCAGGATAACGACGACAACAATCATCACCATCATCATCATCATAACCATCATCATCTTCGTCAGAATCACCATCTCATCGTCACGAGCGCCGTAACCATGACACCACCACCAGGACGAGTGCTAAGCCCGTATTGCCGAGTCGCACCACTCTTGAGCGGCATGAGTGCGGCCCAGGCGGTGCACAGGCCAAGCCACATGCAGATTGATGCCACTGTCCACTGGTGTCCCTTTTGTGTGCCTGGGTGGCTGGTCTTCATTACTGCAGATGGTCACTCCTGATGCCTCTAACGCAGATGGCAAGCCGCCACTCCAAAGTGTTTGTTGCAACGGTACGTTTCAGAGAAAGAGCCCACTTGCGCAACACATCTGTCTGTCTGTCTTCCTTCCGTCCGTTTCTCTGGCTCTGTCTGTCTCTGTCTCTCTCTGCTGCCGGGCTGCCTGGCAGGCCAGCTGGCTGTCTGCCTGCCTGCCTGTCTCTCTCTCTCTATTCTTTCTGCCTCTCTTTTGCTTTGCCTCTCTCTCCGGGTGTCTCTGTCCGTCCATCCGTCCGTCTGTAACTTACTTGCTTATACTTACTTACTACTTACCTACTTACTTTTTAACTTGCGTACTTAAGAGCGTACTTACTTACTGACTGACGTACCTACATACTGACGTCGTTACTTGCTTACCTACCTCCCTACCTCCCTACCTACTTACTTGCTTAATTGCTTGCTTCCCTACTGTCTTTCTTTTTCCTGGTAACTTACTTACTTATACCTTATACCTATACGTACGTACTTAGTACATGGGTGTGTACATGAATACATACACAGATACATACATGCATTGCAAGCACATGCAGGGCCCCGAGGCATGCACCATCGTCAGACGTCGCGCCAAAGACCAAGTAGCCAGCACCACCTCCGGTTGTTCATGGGCCGGGGACAGTCCCCCAGGCGTGGATTCCTTGACGCTTCGGGTATCGTGCTTTGCAAATTTCAGGAGGGCGCCAACGGTTCACGCCAGCATCTACGGACATGCCGAAGTTTTTCTGCCGCAGGCTCGGCACAAGGGTTTCTTGACTGCCCGGTTTCCTCGTCTCCAGCGGTCGACAAGCCAGGCGTGACACCACGGAAACCACAAATGCAGGTTGTGTACAAGAATCACAACCGCACGAACTCGCACATGACGAGACCAAGCTGCGAAACGCATGCGCCTGCACGTTTCCAATCACTCTGAACACAGAAACCCTGCCCAGGGCCTGCAAAGGCAGCCGCCGGCAGCCTTGGGCTTTCTCAAATCGGCTGAGAGCCCGCGCTTGTGGGCGCGGGTTTCTATGCTTCGAGGCTCAGGCATCTAGTCAACCCGATTCGAGGACTCTTAAGCTTGTGCATCAAAAAACTGCACATTCGGAATTCGGAAAGAGACTCGAGAAGGACTGATCAAGGCAGTGTTAGAACGGACAGCCCCAGTGGCGCGCCCAGTATTGGGACCATCCCGAGCACACTGCGCGAGACGATGGAGTCCACTCCTGCCTGTTGGGCCGACAATCATCACCATCAACGGCAGCTACTGGCAAGGCTGAGCACAAACAAGAAGCGTAACACATGTCGCATGAATGATGACGACCATCAATGATATAGAACATCTCCTTGCAACCGAAGCTCGACGCACAGGTGCTGAAAGCCCAAGCAATTAGCATGGCAAGCCGCTTGTCCATCAAGTCTGCAACTCTAAAGCACGACCTCAAGGGCTGCAAAACATCTCACTGAGCCCAGCGCATGGACGGCCAGGGCGAACGTGGCCTCAGACCACGCATCATAAGGACAGCGTCTGACTCGGGATCTATCCCTCCCAACGGGTGGGTATTACAAAGCGGAGCGCGTGCGAATGAAGGGGTGTCCTGCGGGAAGAGCCCCTCACAAAACAAAGCGAGATGACACTTTTAAATTCAACATTTCGGATCTACTCAACTACTCCTCTCGATGCGCTCTCGCCCCCTTTCGGTCACACCATCAACTCGTTGCACTTGTCCTTCCGTCACTCGCAATGCGACCATGGCGCACTGCACGCCTGGAAGAACGACAAGCCCCGAAGGGCGCATTGCACGTAGGCCCAGCCTGGGACGATGCCACGGCTCAGAACTCCCTCTCACTATTTAGGGTTGCAGGCCAGAATAAAGCCTCGCAACTGCAGACCCACTCCATGATGTCGCCGATACAATCCTGGGCCAAACAGTGCAAGTATTGGGCTCTGACGTCTCGGACCTAGGACTCGACAGAGCGCCCAGGAGCCTGGTGCTTACAAACAACACTGCGATCTCGGCTGGACGAACCTCGACCTCACTGTCCTCGACAAGCCTCGATGCTAGCACCAAGCCGGGAGGCTATAACGCATTCCACGAGGCAGAGGAGCAAGCACAGAACAATGTTTCCGTCCTGCCACGAACGTCTGGCTGTACTTTCTGGTGCCCGAAGCCTCGCATGCTACAGTGCTACAAAGCTCCAAGAATCCCGGGTCGAGGAGGACGGAGGGTGGGGGGGGAAGGAGGACCGACGAGGACAGACTGCCAGACTGACAGCCAGAACAGAGACAGAGACAACCCCAGAGAGAGAGACAGAGAGAGAGATCGAAGGATAGAGCGCAGGTTTCTGATAGCTGACTGCAAGTAGCACCGACATGCAGTCGATCTCTAAGCATTGCATGCAGAGCCCGATGACTTTGATCGTCTAGCCCTCAACTTTTGACAGCTTCGCTGGCATGTATCACCTGCTCAAAAGCCGCGAACGCCAAACTAAAGGCCATGGTCTTCCCTGGCGGGTCCTCTTGAGCCTCCCGGCGCAAGGTTCTGACCAAGGCCTCCTGTGCAGGTGGTTGCGCAGCTGCTTGTGCCACTGGTACAGGTCGTGTCGCGGTTGCGTAGTTACGTAGTTTTGTTTGTCGATGGCTGTGGACTGTGGAGGTGCTCTGCAGTGCATCTGTGTTGATTGGTCCTGGGACATCTGTCGTTTCGATTTAGCTGCAGCGTGATTCTGTGATTCGTGTTGGTGATGCCGTTCTCGGCTGTCAACGGCCGCGGCCTTAGACTTTCCCGTCATGGGGCGAGGTCACAATTGGGACATCGGAGTTTCAACACAGCCTGCACGGAACATGCGCATACATTGCTCAGGATCACTCAGAAATCCACATCTGTGAGGCCACAGGCCCCATTATTGGCTGAAACAGCAACTGCAGCCAAGACACCAGTGCCCTGATCAGGGCCACGATGAAGGCGCCGAGGCAGATAGACCCTTGGCCGTACCATCGGCGATTATGGCTATGGTCCAAGCGCTTCGAACGGTTTTGGGATTCTCGCGTGGCCTCTAGGATCGTCCGGCTATCTGCCCCATCTTGTCGATCAAACCGGGAAAGGGGGGGGGAAGGTTCACGAACAGCACGGTGTCAAAGCCGTCGCCGTCCACACACCGCCAGGGGGGGAGCCTAGGCCTCAGCCCAGCGTGTGGCGACCTGGCGAAAGGCCAGATGCGCCGTCTTCTCCCACTTCAGAGCATCTTCACGAAGCCGTACACACCGTTGGCGATCGCTTCCTTGAGCCCGCATCACAGCACGAGTGCGAGCAGCACGATCCGCAGCAGCATTCAAAGCCCTAGCCTTCATCTCACCACACGGCGGGCAGCGCCACTGGTGATTAGCCAGTTTGCCATGTGAAGGCACCCACCACCAAAGGATCTCAATCCTGTCCCGCATCTCCGCCTGCAGCTGCAAGGCATGACGAGAGAACACCTGGGTGCTCCCGCAACCATGCAAAGTCGCCATGGCAGATTGGCAGTCCGCAAGAAGATGGACACGCCCGGCAGCCGTGCAGCGATGCAGCGCACGAACCACCGCCAGCATGCCCTCCGCCTCTGCACGATGTGGGCTCTGGTCCTCCGCCTCCACACCCATCGAGAAGGTGCCACGATCATCGTCCAACACCACCGCCCAGGCCGAGACCGTGTCGACAACACTGCCGTCCGTCGCCAGGAGCACTTCGCCCTCAGCCGTCAAGCAAGCCTGCAACACCTCAGCAAGGTCACTCACATAGCCGTCATAGTCCACGACCAGGGGAACGACAGGGATCTCCGGCACAGCCCTCGCCAGGAACCGCTCCTGAAGTCTGTTGGTCGGCAGCTGAATGCCAGCGACCAAGTCAGCGGTCCGACTGCAGTTCCAAAGAAGGTGAGGCCTCGAGGGGAGACGACCGCCGCAGAGGCAGTCAGGAGCCGCCTCGCCAAGCTTCTTACGCAGGGCCTGCTTGTGCCACGCAGTGCAACCTGTGACCATGGCACACCGACGCTCCAAAGTAGACTTAGCACTTCGCCAGGCCCACTTGTGGCCCTCAAAAGTAACCAAGCTGCCAGCCGCAGGTCCCGGAAGATCCAGTCCTTGGGCCAAGTTGGCATCATCTGCATCTCGCCTCCGAAGAGACCGAGTAACACGACCACATTGACTAAGTCCCTGCACCCGGTACACATCACGAAGCCACTCCTCCACAACAGCAAAGGTGTCCACCCCGAGCTCGAAGCAGCGAGTCTGGCCGTAGGAGTCGCGCCGGTAGAAGTGGCGCCCGTCACGACCATGCCACCAGCCCAGCCTCGTGAGGATCTCGATCGCAAAGGGCAGGAGCTGAGGCCACCTTTTTGTCACCAAGCGTAGCGGAGCATCTTCAATCCACACCGGCACCCGGGAGTGGACCTGCACTGCCTGCCTGAGGGCCGAAAGGTCCGCCGCGTAGCCCGGATGCACCTCCCATCCGCAGATCTCACAGCACAAAAGCCACGAAGTGTCCACCGCAAGTTCCTTGCCGAGCATGTAGCGAAAACTTGCAACAAGCTCCTGAAGCATCCCGGGGGGTACTGAGGCGAAGCCACCAGCCCAGGTCAGCATCGGAACAACCAACACAGTGAGCATGCGCTTCTTACGCTCCAAGCCACGGGCTGCCACATTGATCAACCGGAGCCTCCGCAGGGCCTTCTGCAGGTCGAACTCCTTGAGCACCGGCCGCTGCATCACGTCGAGCGGCACAACCACACCAAGCAGAGAAAGGCAGTCAGAGACCTCGTAGTCCAGGGCCTCGCACAACTCAGTCACCTCCTCACGCGGCCTGTTGTGCACGAAGCGGCTCTTGAGCTTATCACAGCTAAAACCGTACGCCTCATCAAAGTCTCGGCTGCGTTGTTTGGCCGCCAAAACCTGCCGAGGTGAGCCAGCCCACAGCAGTCGGTCATCCACGAAACTCATCGTCGAGACCTCGTCCTCAGCACCACGCTCCGTCACAAAGGACCACATGGCCATGATGGCACCAGCAAGTACTGGAGAAAGAGGGCAGCCCTGGGCAATGCGCAGTGCACCTGGCACCACCTCGGGCCAACCATGCCACAGACCGTGAAGACCCGACTATGGTCGCCGTAGAAGCTCTGCAGCAGCCGCACATGCGCCATGCGCGGCGCACCCAGTCGCTCCAAAGTGAGCACCAGGTCCGGCATCCGGATGCCGTCGAAGAACTTTGTGAGGTCCTCCTGGACATACAAAGGAGCTTGCTCCAGGGAGTCCACAATCCTCAGAAAGCTATCCCGGACACCTCTCTTGCACACACCTCCCAGAGTGCGGTGAGTGGCCCATGTGTCGATCCACTCGGCCAGTTGCTGGATCAAGAGCCGGCAGCCCACCCGCCATGCACACGGCAGTATGGTGAGCGGTCTGTGCCCACCGGACATTTTGGGTACCAGCACAACACGGCCGCGACGCCAAAGGGCCGGCGTGGCCCCCAAGTCAAGCACTCTAGTCCAGAGCCTGCCCAGCGCATGCCAGAAGCCATCCGGAAGCAAACACCACGAAGAGGTAGACCAACCGTCTGGTCCCGCCGCCTTTTGTGCCATCTCCTTGCCAGCTTTGCGAAGGCCCTCCGCAGTGAAGGTGGGCCGCCACAAAAACTCAGGAAGCTGAGGATGCTGCGACAGCAACTGGCCCACACGCCCAGTCACCTCCCGGCGCCCCCACAATCGCATCCAGGCCTCCTCCGACTCCTTCAGCACCTGGGTCGGGTGGATGGCCTTGCACTCCCGAACCTCATGAGCACCGAGCTGAGGCCGCTCCATCTCCACATTCAGCTGCTCCCGCCGCTTGATCCACGACAAAAGGCAGGGCTCAGAAGAATCCATCCTCCCACGCCAAGCAGCAAGGGTCGCCGTCTTGCGTCGAGCCTCCTCCTCCTGAATCCGCTCCTCGAGCCAAGCACTCCAAGCCTCCATCTCAAAGTAGGGCAACTCCGCAAGCCACGGCACCTGATCCACCAAGTCAACAGCCAAGTGCGCCGCCCGATCCCGAAGCCGTCGATCGCCAGGACGATGCCCGAGCTGAGCCACCCGCCTCTGAAGCCGACGGAGACGGACCAGCACCAAGGAGTCCTGGGCACCAGCAGCGCGACTCCGAGGGTGAGCCCGCAACAATGGCCGCCACGAGGTAGAGCGCCTCGCACCGCTCGCACCCGGCTCGCCGAGGAGGTCCTCGGCCACGTCAGAAATCAACGACCATGCACCATCCAAGTCTCCGTCCTCCAGCGCTGCCGAAAGCCAGCTTCATTCCAAGCAGCCTCCCACTGTGCCTCAGTCACCGAGCTCGTCGAAGACAGGCCCCGAAAAGCCGGCCCTCTATGATCCACCGGGTCCGTCAAGTCCAGCTCGTAGGCAACCTGAGCATGATCCGAGAAGGTCCAGCGCTGCCGCACCGTAGTCGGAAAGAAGCGCCCACAAGCCAGGGCATAGTCCAACCTCCGCCCAGAGACACGTGTGGCCGGCAGTGGCCCCGAGCCCTGGAAACCATCATCCCAAGCCCAAGCAAAGCCAGAAGCCAAGTTTGCCGCCATGGGCTCAGAGAACTGCTCCAGGTTAAAGTCACCCAGCAGCACCCATGGAGAACCCGTAAGCTTGAGCTGCTCCACCGCATCCATCGCCCCTTGCATTGCAACTTCACTGTTCCATGCACAACCATAAAACGAGGCCACCACCACCTTCGTTAAGCAGTCGCCCCTCATAAACTCAAAAGTGGCCGCCGCCAGCCGTCCGCTGCACAAGTTGACTGCACGACCCGCCACCTTAGCCAGGACAGCGCACCTGTACAAGCCGTTGTCCACCGGGCTGAGAAAAACGTGCAATCCCCGGCCACGAAGCATAGCCAGGAAAGTCGGTGCCGAAGGCTCGTCGAGGTCGGGCTCCTGCACACACAAAACTGTAACTGGAAAAGAATCGTCAAACATGATGTCGGCCAATGCGTTCACCTTGGCCGCGCCCGCCTTGCCTATGTTCAGGGTGGCGAGCTCGATCATTGCATCGAAGAGCCGCTCAACATGGTGTGGGCACTCGTGAGAATGTCCTGCAACATCTTGGCATCAAGCCCATGACGGTATCGGTGAGCCGTCCGGCGCAAAGTGGAAAGGGCTCGAAGCCTGCTCTTCACCCGCCACTCCAGAGTCCCGGTGCACTTGTGGCGCTGGGCCACCCGTAAATTTCGAAAACATCCGACGCAATGCACACATCTCCAAGCAGCATGGAGCGCAATCCTGGCAGGATACTGCTTGCTTGCACCCCGAATCACGGGCCACGTAAAGGGGCGCAGCTTCGAGGCAATAATCGAGGAGGCCGCAGCAGCACGAAGCCGCTTGCCCAATCCACGATTCAAAGCATTGGTGCGACGCTTCGACACAACGGCAGGGGCTCGGATCCCTTGGGCACGGCACTTGATGGCAAACTGTGCCGCCGTCACAGTGGCATGACAGCGCACCCGGTGTGCCTCCCTCGCCTTCGTGAACTTGCCCTGCGAAACCTTAGCCAGCTCACCCTGCGGAACACCAAAGGAGCACAAAGGGCACCGCCAGTCTGCCGGCGCACTTTTGGCCAGCCTGCAAATGCGAGCCTCAGGCGTACAACGCGTATGGCATCGAGGGAGTTCCGGATGCCACGCTCGGTAATGATCGTACCTGCGGTGACTCAGCTGTGTCGCCGTCTTGGCCTTGAAGACCTGAGCGCAATACTCACACTTCTCCTGGAAGTCGCCGTCCTTGACCTTGGAAGGATTGCGCGACGTGCCCCTGCGGTAGTAGGCCACCAAGCTATTCTTGGGAGCCGCCGTCACCTCCTCATCCAGAAAGTCGGCCACACAGACATCATCAGCAGCCCCGGTGCCCGCAGACGCCGTGGAGAAAGTGCGCTGCGCCCCCGCCACAACAGAGGGCCCCTGGCCAGCCCCAGTCCAAGCCGACAGTGCCGAAGCTGCCGGCCCTGATCGCACCGCCGCACTCCGCTTGGAAGTCGATCTGGAGGATCGCGTCCACACCGAAGCCGCATCACTGGCACCGTCAGTCCAAACCGACGCCGGCGTGGCATCACCCTCGCCGCCCCCTCTCATAGGGACCGCCTCCGGGGCCCCTTTGATGCCGAGGATGGCCTTCGGGAGACCTCCATCCGTGCCTTCAATGAGGTCATAGTGACTGCCTGTAAAATATAGACAGATGACACGTTTGCGCGCTTGAGAATGAAGATGAAAAGGCTCTTGCCATTCACTCTGCGGGAAAACGATCACTCTCACATCGAAAACTCGAGAGGCCCCACGCAATTCCATCAATCCTCCCCAAACCTTGTCGGTTTCGATGGAAGCCACGTAGGTGGACCAGTCCTTGGCCTGGGTCCGATCGGGCATTTCCCGATCCCAGGAGCCATCGTATCGGGCCTCATTTTTGCGAAAATGCACCGCAATTTTCGCACGGACTTCAGCTGCAGACCACTGCTTCTCGTTGTCGCCCTTCTGCAGCTTGTTCAAGCCAAGAGCAAGACTGGCAAATAAGCAGTTGCCGTCCTTCTCCACAGTGGTGATTGTGGCACCCTCCGGCAGCGCACGCTGCTTTCCCTGAAGAGCCGCCGCCGCCTTCTTCGTAGCCGGCCCATTGATCCGGGGACCCCTCTTGTTCGAGTCCTCCTTCTTGTCCTTGGCCTCGCCGTCCACAGCCTCCTTCTGCTCCGCGGGCGCACCCGCCGCCGTCGTGTCCGCATCGTGCTCTGCCTCCTCCTCGTCAAGGCCCGGTGGAACCTCCGGCGCATCAGCCCTCGGCTCGCTGCCAAAAGGGGACCGAGGCCCCAACAACGACCATGCACCAGAAGTGCGGATCTCCTGCGCCTGGGAAGGACCCGGCGCGGCGGAGCGTGCCAAACCCAAAGCGTGATGCTTTCATCACCGTAGATCAAGGGAATCGCCATACTGTCGGCTTGTTCAGCCGTTTTGGCACGGAAGGTGAAATTGTTGCAGCCTCCGCGCCTTCGTTGATGGATCATCTCCACACCTTCAAAGACCGTCCCAAGGACCGTACTGAGCTGGTCCGCGGTGACGACGGACGGAACGCCCTCGGCAAGCCAGAGCCTTTGAACCGGGACGCTCGGGTCGTGCTTAACCCGTTTGCCCAGTTGCTTGCGGCCCACCACCAAGCCGTAGTCCGCCGGAAGAGTCAGGCAACGAGCCAGGTAAGCTGCATTGCCTTCGCGGTCCTGCTGCTGCTGCCATTCGGTCACCACCGTCCCCATATTGAAGCTCCGGCTGGGATCGAAGAAAGCACCACTGCCACTCGTGGCCAATAGTGTGGCCACATCGCCATCAGCAAGCCGGCACTTTCCAAAGACCTGCTGCCCATCGCCACCAGGCCCAGCCTCAACGACCCAGCCCCATGTGTCCATGGCCTTCAGCCGATGCTTGCTCAGGTGGGCAAGCAAGGCCTTCTGCGGCATCTTCAAAGCAGAGCTCCAAGCCTCCTTGTCCATGTAGCGCTGGACAAAGCGCACAAAGATCACCGAGCTGCGCTGCAACTCCACCTTGGAATTTGCGGCCTTCACCTTGGGTCCCGGAGGCTCAACGCCAGTCGAGCAAGCCCTCGTAAAGCAAACTTGCTTGAAGGTCAACTTGCCCCCTTGTGTGCCTGGGCACCGCTCAGAGTCAGGTACCTGCTTCAGCTCCACCAGTAGCAAAGCATGGGCCCGACCAGACCCACGGAAGAGGGACACAAGCATGTCCTTCTGCTCCTCGCTCACCTTCGCGACGGCCCTGACCACGGTAGTAGCTTCCGCAGCCAGTCGCACCAACTCCTCATAGGAAAGCAAAGGGTCCGTCCAATCCGACGGACGGAGCTGCCAATCACCACCGCCACGGGGGCCAACTGTGATCCATTCGCCGTCGCCACTAGGCTTGCCACCACCCCTTGGCTCATCAGCATTCTTGCCCTTGGCCTTCGGGTCGCCGCCGCTCTTGCCTTTGCCATCCATGGCTTTGCCCTTCGTCAGGCCAGCACCACCAGTATCTTTGCCGTTGCACTTGGCAGAGGGGGTCCCACCAGTGTCCATGCCCTTGCCCTTCAGGTTCTCGCTAAAATCTTTGCCCTTGCCCTTGGCAGAGGGGGACCCACCAGCGTCCATGCCCTTGCCCTTCAAGTTCTCGCCACCAGCTTGCTTGCCCTTGCCCTTCGGGTCCTCGCCGCCATCTTCGCCATCTCCACGGCGCCTGCGCTTTCGCCATCGTTCCCTGGCGTCATCACCAAGAGCCTGTCCCACAGGCTGAGGGGTCGTAGTAGAGCTCAGCAAGGAGCTTGCCGGAGACGTGGCCAGCATCCCAGCCACCATCTGCTTCAGCGCACCGCCACCAAGTAGTTCCTTAAGAACCTGACGAATCATGCGTTCAAGGAGAGGTCGCAGCATCTCAGCCAGGCCACCCATGCCACTGCCAAGATCAGCACCCTCCATCTCTTCATCGTCGTCTCGCTCAGCCCTTCGCCGGGCCGTTGCTCTAGCTGCTCCACCACTCGGTCCTGGGTGAGCAGCTTCTCCGATGCGGACCCCACAGTAGGGGTCGTGATCCACTTCTAGGCTAGCACAGTTGATGCACAGGTGCAGCGGTATGCCCACTTGCTGCCCATGTGCACGGTCCTGCTTGCCATTCCTGTATTCCCTCAGCATGGCATCACATCCCCGCTCGTTAGGATCGCCACGGAGAATCTTCGCTACTCGCTGCCCTGTGTCCAGAGCAACAAGTCCCGCACCCGCCTTCTTGGAGGCGTTCTCAAGGGTGCTCAAACCGGGAAAGGCGCACTAATGTTATAAGTCTAGAGAAACCATGATTTCCAGAAATAGGAGATAAATAGGAAATAAATAGGACTAGAGGGTTTATAGGCATTAAGAAAGAAATAGGAAAAAAGGAAACTCAATGGGAGAAAAATCGGCGAACAATATGCCTAAAATTTGAGAAAACTAGGGTGAACGTGTGCATAAAATCAGGAGAAGCTAGGAGAAACACAGGAATAAAATAAGGTAAGACTCGGTAAGACTAGGAAACCTAGGAAAGCCTAGGAAAAGCATGAAACAACACACACACACACAGGGCCGCGGGGTGAAAGTGACGCGGGGAGCGTGGGCAGGGATTCTAATGTTGCTCTTGTTTCCAATTGTTCTACACTCTAATTTTTGTATATTACAGAAAAACCAGGATTTCAATGTTCTTCCTACTTTTATCCTCTGTTGAGCCGCTTGCGATCTGACTAGATAGCACAAGTGAACGACATAACCCCAATACTTTCAACCAAATGCCACTAACCCGAAAGTCGGCAATCAAAAGCTCTCGGTGCCAGGATGCCAAAGGATGTGGTGTACGCATCCTCTGAAGCCAAACTTGGAGTTGCAGCTTCCCGGCTTTCACTTCACACTCAGAAGCGCAGGGCCGGGTTTTGCTTTCAAAAACGACGGGACCTATTCGGACTCATCCTTTGCAAAGTTTCACGGCCTTGGATTCAGAGAGCTTACTTAGCCTGTGCCCGTCTAGCCTCAGAGGACACTGGAGGGCTGTCGCCAATAGCAAATGAAGCTTTGCAGAACGGTTCGAGTCAAGGCCAACCAGACAAACTGCTGTTGCGGCGATGCTTTGATCTTGGGTGCACATCATCTAAAGAATATATTTCAGAAGTCCTGCATCGAGCAAAGCGCAACCAGCCACTAAGCCAAGATGAAACATTTGAGATCTCTGCTGAGTGCTCCCCAGTCCACCAGAACATGGACTTAAAGTCCTGCCTTGATCGCGCTCATGACCGGGGTGTCTCCGGGTCGTCGATCCTGTCTTCGTTAGGACTTGCAGTGTCCTCCGTAGGAAACCATGAGTGGCTATAGTCTTGCCGATACGATTAAATTCCAGAGCTGGTTTCAACTTCAGTGAGAGATGCCTTGCCTAAATAAGTCGTCGCCATTAGCATCATTGTCGTCATCATCATCACCATAATCACCATCATGTTCATCAACATGACATCAACATCATTACCACCACCAACAGCAGCACCAATAGCAGCAACAGCAACAGCAACAGCAACAGCAACAGCAACAGCAACAGCAGCAGCGCCACCACCACCACCACCACCACCACCACCACCACCACCACCACCACCACCACCACATTCAAAATTCGGAGTTGCCGTGCTTGTACGTGCATGCTTTAATGTTGTTTTAGCCTGTAGCTTCAGCGGCTGCTGTGTCGGTGTTGGTGCTGTCTAGCCATGGAAAGAGCAGGAATGAAAAGCAAAAGCAGGAGCTACTGAGATATGACGTAGACAGGTACCACTGGTGACCTTGCACAAAGGTGCCACCGGCAAGAAACATCATGATCCTCGTCGTATGTAATGTCTGGAACTGCTGATGGCAAAACGCTTCAATTGCGGCATGCCTCTACTGACACCTTTCCCGCGCTGGGCAGCATACAGTGCTCCCTAATGAAAGGAGCATAGACTGACTGCCTGAGTAACGCTTGAAAACCTGCCGAGATTCTTTGAGAAAATACCAGCGGCCGAAGACACCACAGCAAGCCGTGTAGGCCGCATCCATGGCCACTATCCTGGGTGTTTCGGTCGTGGAGCCCGACGTCTCGAGTCCCAGGCCTGTCTAAGAGCCTCCCCGCCCCAACTCCCCGTTAGCCAAATCCATACGACTCTGTCGCTCAGAGTAAACTCCGATCTGTAGATGCCCATGGTGCTCCTCATGTCCCAGCCATTGTCAGTGTAGGATATTCCTAACTCATGGCGGTGACTCGTGGCTCAGGGAAAGTCGAGGTGCTAAGTGCTAAGTGGTCATCTACCATCTGTCTAAGCGGAACCTGTTGCAGTTTCATCGTCGTCTTCCGAGGCATCAACCAACTTTTTCCAGTTGTCGCCAACACAGCGCCAGTGCTAAAGCAGCGTCAAGGACATGTCCCGGCTAACTGCGGCTAGCACCCGTTGAGCTACTTGAAGGGCGGGGCACAAAATAAGGACTGCCAAGTTTGAGACTACAACCTTCCAGGTACTCTCCATCTAGAAAGTGCGCGATTTAGATAGAAAAGCCGACGCCAACAATGAGCATTCACGGTACCTTCACCAGCACCGAGTTGCAAACCCCAGTACTGGACGAAGAAGAACAGGAAGATGAACTGCAGCAGGCACTCTATGGCAATTGACCGCAGTGGGTCACAGTAATTCTGATGATTCGCCAAACCGCATGCACGCGTCCAAACTGTGATTTCAAGTCCCACTAGAATCAATATTCTCAGATCATGCTACCCGGTAGAGCGGGGTGCAGATTCAATCGGTCATCTGTCTTCTGTGCACAGCAACCGTCTGGAAAGGTCGATGTCGCATGGTCCGTTCATGGCAGTATTTCGGTCGGCACTCCCAATATACCACTTGATGGTAGGGGGGCATGTTTCTAAGCAAGATTTCGGATCATGCGCTTCTGGGAGCTGGCACAGGCGAATCGGATCAGGCCCCGGCTTCATTCGGGTGCGGGTTTGCGATTCAGCGCGCACGCGCCGGGCTTTCAAATCAGCAGAGGAACGGGTCAGATCAGAGGAAAGGCAACCCTAAACCTTACAAGCCCTAAGGGGAGTGGGCGGGAAAAGCCAAAACCCCGAAACCCGAAGAGGAGTAGCTTGTGCGAAAACCCAAAATCCGCAAAAAGGCTTTGTACGAGTACCCGGCTTCGTAAATCTCCAATCCTCCGTGGAAACTGCGAACATCCAAATAAATGAGTCGGTGGGTAGAGAAACCCAAAACCCTAAAAGGAGTAGGTGCGTGCTGCAGCCCCAAGCCCTAAGCGAAAAAACCCTAAACGGAGTAGCTGCTGCTAACACCCAAACGGCTGCAGACACAAACCCCAAAATGAAGCATGTTCTGCGAAAACCCAAAACCTTCATTATTAAAAAGCATGTACCTGATGCAAAAACCTCAGACCCCTGAAAGGAGTGGGTGGGTGTGAAACCCAAAACCCAAAAAGAAATAGTCAGGTGCGAAAACCCAAAAGCCTACAGCATGTAAATGCTGAAGCCCCAAACCCTAACGGGAGTATGTTCTGCGAAAACCCAGAACCTTAAAACGATTAGCTGCTTCAAAGGCACAAACCCTGAAAAGAGTGGATGGGTGCGAAGTTCAGAGCTTAAAGAAAACCCAAAGCCCCAAAAAGAGTAGCTGGTGGCAAGAAACAAACCCGATAAGAGTGGGTGGGTGCGGAGACCCAAACCCAAAAGGGAGGTGGTGGATGCGAAAACCCAAAGACCCTAAAAGGAGTCGGAGGGTGCAGAAACCCAAACCCGAAAAGGAGTGGGTAGGTGAAAAGCCCAGCCCTAATGAGAGGTAGCTGGTGCGAAAACTCAAAATCCTAGAAGCAGTGGCTGGATGTGAAAACCCGAAGCCCTACAAGACGTGGATGGCTGCAAAAACCCAAACCCTAAAAGGAGTCAAAGCCCCAGACAGGAGTGCTGAGCTGGGCTAGTATACTGATCTGATTCTGTTCCTCCTGCTCCGTGTGCCGATGAAAACCGTTTTGTGTCCAAGTCGCTGGGTGTTTTGTTGTGCTGGGTGTTCCAGCAAGTCTCGTTGCTCCAGTATGTTCCAGTTCGTAGATGCGGTGGAGTTCTTTGGTTGTTTTGCCGGACGGTGCCCGTGGCAACAACGATGTCGTCAGGCACTGTGCGAATCAATCTTCAAAGGATGTGTAGGCCCGTCTCTCAGTGTTTTGCGCGTCGATCATCGACTTGTCGGCTGCCGCGGTGTGCCGCTCTTCCGCACCGAAGGTCTCGTGTGTTCTCGAACCCATGTTGATTAGTCACAACACCTTTGAGGGTCCGGCCCCGGCTTTCGCTGGCGAACTCGAGGCTCGACCCTGCAGGAGGTCAGTGGGGATGGTGCGCCGAATCTGCCCACAGTGCTCATGCAGACAAGGGTCTAAGACCGGCTTGCAGGGCCAGGGAGTTAGGCTGTTTAAGGCACATGTTGCTGGGGGGTGTCGGGACTTGAGGTCTGAAGGTGCAAGAAAAAATTGAAGATTCCTGGTGACGACAAAAACAACACAGCAGTACTGGCGACAGCGAGTAGAAGATGTGAAAAGTAGAATGGAAGCAGTGGCAGTACCAGTAGCAGCTGCCCAGCAGAAGCCAAATCGCAACCATGGTGCTGGCAGCTTGCAACCGGAAACTTAGAGACCAACTCCCGAACCTGCACACCGAACTTTTGCAAACGGCCTTCGTCAGCTTGTCCATGGCTTCTTCATCATGGATAGCAAAAGCCACAAGGCTCATGCAACAGAGCAAACTCCACAGGAAGGACCTTGCAAGCTCCGTCGGATGATGGCCATTCGGCGTTCTTGTTTGCGAATCATGTCAGAAGTCTATTCCAGAATTCCAAAGTCAACATGGACACATAATCTGATCGTAAGACGAGCGATGCAGATGTAGGCATGAAGGCACTGATTGTGGTGGAGAATGTCCAAACACATGCACAACTTACACAAACTGGGAAATAACAGATACTGGTCCATTCTGACGTGTTCCATATGAGTGCTGAAACAGAGCGGTCGACGACGAGGAAAATGAGGTGTCTGACTCTGTCCCCGATCGATTCAGACTTCGCTGTGACACGAAAAGTTTGGCACGAAGCGGTTCCCACTCAACCTGCACGTCACTACCATGGGCAGACATTCCCATGAGCCTTCATATGCCGGCCTACAACCACATCTCCGAAAAAGCTACACGATGGTGGTTGGATCCGGCTGTTTGTGAGCTTCCACTCACTGTTGCCTGACGTAGATCATACCGCACCGAGGCCCAAACAGCTTGCACAGTGCATATGAGCGATTCTCAACAATGCATGGACAGCTTGCACACTCGGCTGAACAAAGCAATGGAAATCACCCATGCAAACTGGGATGGATACCTGTTGCCACTTGACAGGAAACAATTCCGCCCGATACACAGTAGAGAGAAGAGCCAACACCGATCCTTGCATGGCTTGGCTCCGGTTCGCCAAGGAGCAGGAAGGAACCCCAAATGGAGATGAAGATCATGGACCTGGTGGCACGCCGTCAGGGTTTTGATCCTCTTCGCCGAAGCTGCTGCAAGATGGGCTGTGGGCACAATCAAGATATTGTGTTAAGTACCTTAATGCACTTCCAAGCCATAGCAGGAACCGTGGTAAATGCCGTTGTAAGTGTAAGTGCAAACTACTACTCGACAAATGCTGCATCAAAGAACATGCTGTCTCGTTTTTTCATGTGAATCAATACAGCCTTGCGCACATGGGCCCACAAGAAGAAATTAGCCGCTCATTCGATCTCACCAGGCATTGCACAGGCCGTGCTGAGGCACGATACAAAGCTTTGCAGGAGCGGATGCTGCAGACTCCGGTCAGCGGTGCTTGCTCCACCCCTCTCGTAGCATACAAACACACTACACACGGTTGCCCCTCTCGGGCATCCGAAGGCCAGGGCTTGGATGCCAGTCGCATCGTGGAGCCCTGGCAATGTGCAGGGGCCTAGGGGTTGACGATAATGCTGGGTGGCTGACGTATGGAGCTCCATGACTTTGATGATCGTCCTCGCACACTGACAAGTGACACCATAGGAGAAGCACAAACCTGTTCACTTCCAGCCGTCCTCATAAGTGCAGCAGAGAAGGGCACCAAGTCCTTCCAGCAGCAAAGCACCTCATGAGGCACGAAACTGTCAAGCGAGCATGCGCAGGATCGGACGCGAAGCGGTCAAGGCTTGAGGTGCTCGCAAGAAAAACCAAACGGGAATCTGCTTGGGGAGGCACACAGGCAAATAAGCAGCAGCCAATTGAGAAGGTGATGGCCCCGATGATGCCTGCAAGCTACGAGAAAGACAGTTGGGTCGTCGAGTGATGCTGGACCCGATCCGTCACTGAGCGAGAACCCTTCCCATATGCAGGTATATGTATGTATGTGTGTATAAATGTTTGCATGTATGTATGTAAGTATGTATACATATTATGTACATCTATGTATATACACATAGATTCGCTAGTGGAACACATGTATATACAAATGCAGATACAGATGCTACCCCCACCCCCCTATTGACCAACCTCTCTCATGAAACCTTTACGATTACTCAGTATTTGTAAGGGTGCTTCCAGCCTCATTTGCAAATGAAAGCAACACAATTTCCCCAATTCATTTGCTAAACAAATATTCTGTGTCTACGACATGTGCTTTTCTATAAGCGGCGCAGCAATTAATAAACACTAGAGTCTTTCGAGTTCTTGGATGGTTTGGAATGTTGTTTTCTGTTCTTAACTTGTGTTTGGGATTGCAGAATTCCGAAGCTTGGTTTCCGAAGTTTTGAATGTTTCCAACTGTTGGACTGTTGGACTTCTGTGCATTCCCAACATATATCCCGAAACTGCCTCCTCTCTCCGTTTCTCTCTCTCGCTCTCTCTTACGTACTCAGGGATCGCTGCCAGACTGCCAGACTCCTTTGATTCTTATGTTGCGGTTGTTGTTGAATACTCGTATGTTGCTTAAATCGTGTTCGGGCTGCAGTAACGCAACCAATGTGTTCTTAATTCGAGACCGATTTTTGACTAACATGTACCTAGCTGCTAATGCTTGCAAAACCATGTGGCTGGTTTGCAATATCATAGATCAATAGCAGATACAGCAATACATGTTCCAACATACGTTTCATGCTTACTTCTTGTTCAGTATGGAAGTATACAAGTGTGTCTAGTTACTGGCTTTGGCTTAATTCAAACGAGAAGTAGATCAGTATTCGCCTAATGCGTGTGTAGCACTTGGTGTTCACAGAAACTTGCGCACAAGTAGACGTTAAATCAACTAATTCGTATGGGGTGTTCAACTAATACTCGGTCATACAGAACGAATACTTAGCCGAACCTACCGAACCTTCATCATCACGTAGTGAAAGTTTCATGAACAACTCAGAGCCAAGCAAAATGTGAATACTCTGTGCATGATAGGTGTCCAGGATGTGTTGAGCATCTGGGCTATACTTGTTTGATTACTCGCTTGATGTTTGACAATGCGTGCCTCGTTTCGTAAAGTTTTGTCGATAACTGAAACTTTACTATTGGGCTGACAGTTGCTTAGCACATACCATTTATGTAGTGATTGTTCGGACACGCTCTCTTGAAGCTATCTTTCGATATAACATCTTCTGATGTGATCACTAACGAACCCGGCTCGCAGATTCGGATTGCCTTTGTCTCTGCACGATTGAAATAACCAGGTTACTATCTAAGAACGACCCAGGACCTAGTTTGGCTGCAACGACTAGCCATGCCAGCACAAACTGAGCATTAGACGTTTATGTTCTCTTCTTTTACTTGAGCAAACATAAATAAGACTGAAAACGCTGCGAAATAGTCCACAAATACTGATCCGATATCAACTGCACATTAAATGTAATGGAAGCAATAACAGAACACATGTACCGTAATCTTTGTTTGAAGATGTTTGCTAACACGTACTGGTAACTCATACGTAAATGCGTCACATACGTACTTGATGAGCGACAGTCAAACATGCGGCCAGAAAATCTTCAACGGTAAATGTTGCATAAGGTTGCATATGTACATGACATGAGAGGAGACGGCAAGAAATGTGGCTACACATCTGCAACCTGTTTTGAAAAACTATAGTATGATGCATACACACTGCAGACAACGGCAACGAACACGAATTTTCGCGATGTTTACAGGCTGCTCGACTTTCACCCGCAACAATACAGGGACACGCATGAGCATTTGCATGGCAGAGGATGGGATTAGCGTAGTTGTATGTATATCCTTTCTACATATAAACATAAGTGCATATACATGTTTCAAGACCTATACATATATACATGTACAAATATGCATGATACACATACGTACATAGATACATATAGACATATAAACATCAACATATATATATATATATATACATGTATACATGTGTACATATATACACACATACATGTATACTTGTATACTTCTACTTTTATGTGTATATACTTGTTTTCTACACACATGTACTCAACAAACTTATATACGTATATACCTCTAGACTTGTACAACAACAGCATTGCTTCTGTGCTGCACGCACACAGAACCCAAAACTGATGTCTCTGAATCCGCACAACATGGCCCCTGCTCTAGACTAAACGACGTCTGGCCTTGCTTGTTCCCAGCCAGCTGTGCACCCCGGCTCAAATGTCTGCCAGGCGCCCCAAGCCACCGAGACCCTTTAAAACGTCTGGAGCAGTTGGAGATCTGTGCCTGGCATCGGCCACTGGACCATCATGACGACTCCCGCGACGATCATGACGGTCGGCCCTCAGAGTGCTTATCTGAAGATCCCAAGGTCTAGGCGAAAGACGGCAAGGAGCTGTGTTCAGCGGTCGGTTTAGGCGTTTGACCTGCGGATCTTCGGCTGGGAGCCTGGAGTCACAGCCTCTACCCGGACTGCAGAAGGGATCTGATGTGGCGATTATTCTGAATGCCGTTCATGTTGAAGCGACCATCTTGGCGCAAAGTGGTTGCCTTCCTGTTCCAGGAAGTTCAACAAGTAGTACTTCACGATGCCTGTCACAAAAAGAGCAGCATTCGTGACAGCAGTTGTTTGGCAAAAGTGGAACCAGCACCTCGCTTGCGAGTCGCATGACAACTGACCATGGCAGGGGATCAGCCTTTGCTCGAGATTTGTGGTTCGGACGGCCTTGCGGGGATTGAGCCTGTTGGAGGCTTGAGGCTTGGCAGGGTGTGTCATGCTCTCTCGATCCCACATGCTACAGGAAAACGAGTAACTAGTGCTTATGCTGGCTATTGTTCCACGTGGACACCCTAAATTATGAGGACGAGGATCCTAGCAGCAGCGCGCACCAGATAACCAGCTCGGAGAATCTCTTGGCAAGCTCCAAGAAGACGAGGGAGAACACGATCGCCACCATGCCTGGACAAAGCTGAGCATCAACTGTCGGATGCCGGAATCACAGTAGGATTAGGTCGAGGGTCCACACGCGACGCAGCGACACAGTGCCTCTTTGCCCCATAACTGCGACGACAACGATAACGATGATGACGATGATAATGACGACGATGCTGATGATGCCGATGGTGGTGGTGCTGGTGGTGGTGGTGGTGGTGGTGGTGGTGGTGGTGGTCGTGGTGGTGGTGGTGGTGGTGGTGGTGGTGACGATGACGACGATGATCATGATGTTCATGGTGGCATGATGACGATGACAATGGCGATGATGATTGATGATGATGATGATGATGATGATGTTGATGATGATGATGATGATGATGCTGATGAGGGTGATGATGTTGATGAGAAGGAGGACGACGATGACGATGCCGATGCTGACGAGACTGATGTTGAAGATGATGTTCATCATCAATTGATGATGATGATGGTGATGATGATGATGATGATGATGACGACAGTGATGCGGTGACGATGCTGTCGCTGTGCAGCTTGTTCATTCTCTTGTTGATGGCTGTTGAACAACAAGGCATCCAAGAACACTTGCTTCAACAAGAAACGACATGTCTTTCTCGTCGTTGAGCGGATTGCCTTCCTGCTATTGCAGCACACCTGGTTAACTACTTATTACCTCAGTTAGGTCACTTGTCATTCTTGCGGCTCGTGTTGGCGTCATGTGTCTCCACATGCTCGTCAGACCCAGTAGTTTGGCATAACTTTTGGTGAAAGCAGCGATCAATCCACCGCTAAACATGCCGCAAGCCCGAATTCCCTCCAGATAGCAAATCACATTGTAAATGCATGAGCAAGTCGACGTGAACTTCTGATACACGGGCCTGCTGCAGCCAAGGCGTAGCCCACAGCGAACAAGCTTTTCTCGTACCTGCTTTGAAAATGCGGCTTAGTGCAAAGTCGACACAAACCACGGGAACCATAGTCTAAGCGTGCTTTGTCGCCGCTCTTCAGTCCGAGACTCGCATGGAGCTTGGTGGAGACTTTCGCCTTAAGGCGATTGAATCAGTTGAGGTTTAACAAGTTGGCTTCGAGCGCTGCATAGCGCTGCTGAAAGCTTCGGTGCCCAGAACTTCCATTGGGGTTCTGAGGCTACTGTGTGAGGCGCGGTGATTGGCCATGATGCAGTTTGAAGGACTCAGGCTAGAGGCTGCGCCGGCCATCGACTTCGGGTAATCCGAAAATGGAAAGAGCGCTCATGCTAAAGAAACAAAAGCCGTCAATTACACAAACATGAATCACATAATGAGATCCAGTTGCCACCTGTCCTTGGTCTGCAGCTCCCGTGGCGGCGATGACACCAGATGCGCACCACCAGCACAGAAATCCTGCAACCAAAGCCACGGAATAATACACAGGCCGATCACGCCAGTTCGGGAGATAACAAAGATGTAGCAGGACAACAGAGGAACTTGGAATGTGACTCGGTTGCCTGTCTGCAGTGTCGATGCCGGAGTGGGATACTATGTCAGGCCTTGCCTTCTCCTATTCATACTCATTGTCGAATTTTATTTCCGTTGCCTTGTTTCTGCACGGGGCGCGAAAGTGCCAGCGGCATGCAAAAAAAAACGCGCAGCTAGCCAATATATAAATATATATATATATATATATATATATATATATATATATGGTCACCCCCCCCCCCCCAAGATCTACATCCGCCTCTTCCACACAATTCCACAGGTTGCTTCTCTACATTGGTCGACTACTCATATATGCCGAAAACACCGTAAATTCCGATACAATCATGCTTTACTCCATGTGCATGCAAACAGTGCTGCTACAAGTCGCGGGTTTGATATGTGTAAAAGTCTGGCGCCGAATCTCGGCAGCAGATTTATGGTAGTTTATATGTTGGAAAAGCTGAAATGCTGGAGGGCGTGCTATTTTTGTTCAGGTAGTACTAAGAAACCTCGTGGTTTTTGCGTTTTGTGGTGTGTTATCTAACGACATTCCTCTATAATAATAAAAATACTATTGTCTCTCTTACGAAGGCGTCTGTGTGCGTGGGCCATCTCTTTCCCGCTGCTCGTGAGCGTCCGATTCTGATGCGGCCTAATAGCTTTAGCATTTGATTTATGAGTTACGAAACACAGAGAGCTCCTTTCATGTCCTGTCCGTTATACATGGAGGAAGTCGAATATGCGGGCGCATTTATTTTTGATGCAATACTCCAATAGTTGTTCTTTGCCTCATAAAAAATGGGAAAGCTCAGAGTTGGAGTTGGAAAGTTCATGTGCATATGCGGGCGCACAAGAAGGCTCGTCTGCAGCAAGAAGTAAGAGAGCTCTTGCAACCTTCCAAACATGAAGCACGACTAATTACGACTGGCTGCATTGATAAGTATCAATCACAAGGCAGGGGCTCTTTAACCTTGTAAAACAAAGTAAAATGGCACTTCATGGAAGAAAACTCCTCTTTGTGTTGTGAGTCGATATTAAAGGCAGCCATGTGCATAGCAATCGCTATCTATTTTTGAGGGTACTCATTTGGGCCATGAGTTTTCATTCGGTTAACTGTTATTGATGCTGTCCTATACCCCGGAGAAGATGCCGATCGCTATGTCCATGGCTGTTTTTCTAATTGCTGTCATAGAGCGTAGCGGAAAAAAGTAGCTCTCTTCAATCTTCAAGCGACACTCCCCAGATGGGATGAGGAAACAAAGAGAAGCTTGCTTACTGGTATCTTCTATTAAACGGGCAAGAGGCGTAAGAGTTGTATCGGTTTCTACACCTCCCTCACATCCTGACAAAGCGATACTGGTCCTTCTGTTTGTGACTGTGGTTTAAACGCTGTCATAGTTCGTATCACAACATGAAAAGGAGCTCTCTTCAGTCTTCAAAGACTACAGGTGACATCGTAGAATTTTATTCTGGGTTAGCAGGAATCTTCATGTCTCTTGCTTGATAGGTATGAGGATGTCTCATAGGAAACCGAATAGGAAGTCTCCATTGTTTCTGATGATAGCAACATGCAAACAGTTTCCCACAGTCTTCAACATGAAATGAATTAAGTTCCAGATAGGCTTGCGCTGCTACAGTGTTGGATCTGTAGGCGGTGCAGCTTGCCGAAGAATGGCCAAAACCATTTCCGAGAAAGCTCAGGTACTGGAGCCAGTGCTGCTGGTGCCATAGATCTACCAACCTCCGAAAACATACATGAAATAAACTATGCAACGACTAGGCCTTTTTCATACTTACCAAACAAGAGTAATGAAAACCGTTGTTGTTCCAGAAGACACATAAATCATTACTTCCAGTCCTTGACAACGCTTGAAAGCACACAATTATCTTGTGATGCAATATATCCTGTCCTGGACATCAGAAAACACTGTAATGCTCAAAAAATCCAAAATTTCCAGCCCCGAAACTCACGAAACACTGTACTGCTCAAAAAAATCCAAAAATTCTAAAATTCTGGCATCTATGGCCAGGCCGGGGGCAGATTCCTTAAAAGTTTGGATTTTTTTGAGCATAGCAGTGTTTCGTGCGTTTCAAGGGTTGGAAAAGTTGATTTTTTGAGCATTACATGTCTTGTGCGGTTGAACCGCACCTCGTCCGGGTGGATTTCCATGACTTCGTGTGCGGCAAGATTTCAACAGGCTTGGAGTCACACTTGATTGTGCACAGCTGCGCACCCATCACATATCGCATGTCCCTCTTCACTAGACCCTCTCATAAACACTCTCTGGTTCAAGATTTCGGCTGTGGGAGAACGAGACGGACCAGGCGGTTTTGGTTTTAGGACCAGCATCAGCAGGTTTGGGGGCGGACAAGACACGCGCATCATGAGCATCAGCGGTGCTGCATGGCAGTGCAATAACTGGAGCCGCTACCCCATGACCTCGTTGTTGAGTGGTACATTAAGCAAACTCACTTCTTTTTGACCATGATCAATCTCAAAGACGCTTTCTGACCAGGTGGTTTTGGTTTTAGGACCAGCCCCGAAGCCGACTGATGTTCATGAGGCCACGGCTGATGCTCATGTTTCTACACGTCCTAGAGTTTCCAGATTCCAGATTTGCAGGATAAGTTTCCAGATTCCAGATTTCCAGGCTCTAAGATTCCAGATTTCCAGATTTGCAGGCTCTAAGATTCCAGATTTCCAGATTTGCAGGGTCTAAGTTTCCAGATTCCAGATTTCCAGATTTCTGGAATCCTTAGGGTTTCCAGATTCCAGATTTCTGGAAATTTGGAAACCTTAGGGTGAGAAAATCTGGAAATCTGGAATCTGGAATCTTAGAGCCTGCAAATCTGGAAATCTGGAATCTTAGAGCCTGCAAATCTGGAAATCTGGAATCTCTGGAAACATAGTGCATGCAAATCTGGAATCTGGAAACCTACGTACTGCAGAAAGCCGAAAATCAGGAAATCCGGACTCCGAAAACCTGCAGACGTAGATCTTGGGGGGGGGGCGAGCATATATATATATATATATACACATATATATATATATATATGGGCGCACCCCTATTTGGGGTCCCCTACGCTTTTCGCCATACCATCAGACTCGGTTATAACCCTACGTCATCGACTACAGTATATCCGGTTTGAAGACTAACCCGGGAAGTTGCAACAACCCATGCTTTCAGAATGCTGAAACCCACACAAGGCTAAGAATTCCATGGCACCCTCGCCGAAGCCCTGTTACAATATGCTAGAATCCTGGCCTTGAAGCCGTCGATATATCTTCGTAGTTCATCTTTGTGTGACTGTATCTAAACCGCTGTATTTCAGTTAATCCAACAAGCGCGCTGTAGTCATTAGTCTGGTTCAATCATTCCTTATCGCAAACTAGATTTTGGAACGAAAAGTTTTCCATGTTTGTACTGTAATGCCGCAATCCCACCAAAGTCTCTGTTGTTGGACGCATTGCTATGACGTTTTGGCAAACTGATAGCTTTCAATGACATATCCCCGTGCCCCTATGTGATTGCTTTTAAACACTGGTATATCCGGTAGGTATATTTGAGTGGTGCATTCCTGAGTTCTGTATGACGGCTGCCCCAAGCCAAAATTCAAAACTTGCATACTACAAGCTTAGCAAACGTTGTATAGTGTTTTTCCTGGGGGACGACATGAAGCGTCGCTTGTTGGGCTTGGCACTGTTTCTGTATGCTGAGTGATGAAGCCTGTGCTTTTGCATCAGCATACCTTAACCATCACGTAAAGCCGACTGAAAACCATAAGGCTACATCTAGCTTGTCCGAATTTCTGTTTGTGTTCTTGTGAATATTTACTGAAGGTCGAATAGAAGCCATTGTTCCCAGTCCAGAACGTGATCCTCGTGTTAGACAAAGTGGTAAACACACACCGAATCACTCCTCGAAAGAGGTTCATCCATGTAGTTGGAAGTGGCATTGCTAGGAATTTTCTACGTACCGAGCGAGGAAACCTAACAGTTTGCAAGTTGCAAATTTTGTTTCGCTCACCACACATATTCTTATCAGTTTTGTCTCGTCGAAATCCGGCTTCCTTGGAACGATGTTTGAATTTAACGTTGCAACCAGTTCGCCTATGTACGAAGTGATGAAACCTGACCACGCTGTAAACTTTGAAATGCTGTCTCTCCCTACAATGACGTCGTATAAGTCGTATCTCAACTTTCTGTGTACCGCGATATTCCAATGCTGACAACACTTACTAACCTACTGTAATCCCGATAGAGCCCCTTCATATTCCGCATTTTGATTCCTGCGTGAGTGACATGTTAGCGGCTATTCTCTCAATGTGTACATAGATCTCATAAACCCGATGTACTGGAACGGACAGGCCATATAGCCTTTCCGCTAAAGTTGGGGAATGCGCATATGGTTCCCGGAATTATGTTTGTTACAAAGCACTGCATCATGCCTCAACAACCGAATACATGCCAATTACCTCGGACCCTCTATTCTTCTAGTCCTTGTTCAATTTCATTGCGGTTACATTCACCCTGAAACACCGAAACTTTCGAACGTTTGGATTTAGGTGTTGATGAAGTAGCGGTGGCACAGGCCTGGTTATAACCTCTGTCCCCGGTTATAACTAGGACACCTGCGTAGTAGGCAGCCCTAGACCCATAACTAAACCATTAAACCATTAACAAACCATTAAATTTGTACACAGTTAAACCAATCCTTTCCCCCAATGGACCCAAACCAATCAACCATTAAACCATTAAGCCAATCCTTTTGCCCCATACCACTAAACCATTAAACCAATCCCCCCATAGAGAGAGACACATCCTATATATATATATATATATATATATATATATATATATAGGTATATATATATATTATATGCATGCAAGGGCTGTCTGTTTGTGTCTGTGTGTGTGTGTGTGTCTCTCCGCGTCTCTGTCTCTGTGTCCCAGTGTCTCAGTGTCTCTGTGTCTCTGTTCCTGTCCCTGCATCTTTTCTGTCCTCGTCTGTCTCTGCGAGTCGGTGTCGGTGTCGCTGTCGGTGCTGTGGCTGTGGCTGGCTGGCGATCCGTCGGTCGGTCGGTCGGTCTATCTGTCTGAGTCTGTGTCCGTCTGTGTCTCTGTTTCTGTCGGTGTCGCTGTCTCCGTCTCTGTCTGCAGCCATGCGAGCCTGCCACCGCGTAGAACAAGATTGCCCAGATGACATCCTGAACAGTTGGTGGCATTAATCCCTGGGACGGAACCACGCAGGACAACATCTCCCAAAAGAGAGATGTCCGCACTTTGTCGTCCCCTGTCTTGTTGTCGTCCGAGGTGCCCGACACGGCCGCTTGGAATCTTCAAAGGGCTCTTTGTCCTGCATCATCGAGCCACCTGCGCCCAGGAGTTCGCTGAGGGCTTCGGACCTCCGTGTATAGAGGACAACAGAATTTGGTAGGGTCTGACCCTGAGGTGATTTCGCAGCATTTCCGCCTCGTCGCAGTTCTGCATTCTCATGCGTCGAAAGCTCCGAGACACGAACAGACTGCCGGCCCATGGCTGACACGACCTCAACGGCACTGGGCACAGACGGCCAAACCTCTTGAGAAGTCTACCCAACCTTCTTGGAGGCGACCGCCGCCGCCACCAACGAGTGAAGCCTCAGCCATGACTCAATTCTGCGCAGCCCCTCATGTGAAAGTCCTAGCCGCGAACAACAACTTGCAAGCACTGCATGTAGAAAGCACTTCGTCCACAGCCTTTAGGTGACCTGGGAAACCTCATCAACCCCATCGAATGATCGCCACACCCTTTTGAAAAAGAACTTCAATCCTCGCCCTGTTGTCCTGCAAGGAGCTTAGCAGACAGTTACATCGCTCTGCCACCAGCAGCGCGCTTGAGCCGACAGGGCAGGCGAGATGAGTCTACAACTTTCGGTTTCCGCCATCCAGACGGCCCGGTGACACTAACAGCATTACGCTGGTGCTCTCAATGATGCTGGCGGATGCCGCGCACAGTTTGAGGCTTTGGGTGGAAATCGTGATTTTGCCACGGTTCGTTACGCCAGACGCACTCCAACAAGCCTCCATCGGATTCCTTGTAATTCTCTCGGACTGCGGTTGAAGGCATTTGGACGAGCAGCCGCAACCTGGACCCGAATGCCGACCAAGAGACCAAGCATATCTGCTGCAAGGGTCCTCCGACATGCGCCCAAGAGCCCTCTGTTTTGCTTTCCTCTGCGCTTTTTGAGCGTGTGCCCGGGACTAGGCGTTCAGACTCGAGGCTCTGGGACTGGACGCAGGTCGTCGGCGTGGAACCTCCAGCACTTCAAGACAAAATAAAGAGAGACGGACCACAGGCAATCAGAAGCTAAATCAAAATGAGATAAGAAAGGAGAATGGAAGACCATTTACGAAAAGATCGAGACCAAGACCAAAGTCGGCAGTCGGGGCCAAGATCACGAGCAGGGCAAAGATAACGACAAGACAAGGCTGCCGGATCAAAACGCAAAATCATAAAAAGCATAAGCGTAGCGGATCAGTAAAACTCAACGGGTCAAAAGACTCATAACCAGGCCCTGTACAGCACTCATTCTTGTTGCAAACAGAGTAAATTGCCGCACATGCTTCTGTCTCAAGGCTTCAAATGCTGTTAATTACAGCATTTCTGGCGGTTCAGAGGCCAGCTATGTCAAATTACTGCAGTTCTGTCCATTTTCTGCCCAGTGAATTGCATCATTTCTGAGTCCTCGCAAGTTTCAATGCCATGGAACCGTTGTCAACTACATCACTTCCGCTTGTTCACATGCTGGAGCATCTCCGGCGAGTCACGTGGTTCCGTAAAAGTGTGCCATGTCAACATGTTGACAAGTCCAAGAAGGAGTAGGCGGTGGTGGTCGTAGTCGTAGTCGTAGTCGTAGTCGTAGTCGTAGTCGTAGTCGTAATCGTAGTCGTAGTCGTAGTCGTAGTAGTCGTAGTAGTCGTAGTAGTCGTAGTAGTAGTAGTAGTAGTAGTAGTAGTAGTAGTAGTAGTAGCAGCAGTAGTAGTAGTAGTAGTAGTAGTAGTAGTAGTAGTAGTAGTAGTAGTAGTGGTAGTAGTAGCAGCAGCAGCAGCAGTGGTGATATTGCCAGCAGTAGTAGTAGTAGTAGTAGTAGTAGTAGTAGTAGTAGTAGTAGTAGTAGTAGTAGTAGTAGTAGTAGTAGTAGTGGTAGTAGTAGTAGTAGTAGTAGCAGCAGCAGCAGAAGTAGTAGAAGCAGCAGCAGAAGTAGCATCAGTCGGAGTAGGAGAAATGCTCTGGAAGGGGGAGCGACACTTGTCCTTGCATACCTTTGGACGGCTGGCCAGGACAGATTGGCCAAAGGCCTCTGGCGTTTTGAGCGCACCAGTACCCCCTCACTCCCCTCCCCGACTTCCCTCCACCTTGCCGCTTCCTTCCCCCTTTCCTCCTTTTTCCACCTTCCCGCTGCTTTCTTCCCCCCACGCCCCCCATCCTTCCCCTTTCTCCCCCTCTTTCTGCCCCACTTCCTTCTTCTCTTTCTCCATCTCTTGCCACTTGTCCATCTTCCCGCTGCTTTCCGTCTCCCACCCTTTCCTGTCCTTCGGCACTACTGGAGCCGCCAGCCGAGGCGGGCCGCGTAGCGTAAGAATTAAAATTGATGAACATGACTTTCGACGGCATGGTGGGGATGCATGGCTGAGGGGCCATTTGCCCGTACAAGTTCAGAACAGTTCCTTATCTTGCAACTTCATGACTCATACCATTACCTGCTGAGGGTCCAAAGCGCTGTGAAGAAGCCTCGAAGCGGCCTTCTCAGCCCAAGTCCGACACCAGAACCGCAGCATCCGGCCAGCGACTTGGTGCTGAGGGCTTTTACACACAAGAACTGCGAGCCTTGCGAACTCTCCGAAAGGCCAAGACACGTGTGGAGAGTGGCGACGAAGGCATCGCCTTCTGACCCTCCGGCCGCCAGCGTTGGGTCCTTGGCCGTCTAGTGCAAACATGCGAACAGTGTCGAAGCAGAGAGACTTCGTTGGGCCAATGCTGTTTCTGCAAGACAGCGGTACTGTTTCAGCAAGACGCATGGGTTGACGAATGAGAACAACTACTGTGGATAGCAAGAACAAATGGAACACAAAAAGCGCGGATCTGGCGCAAAACTGCACGACCTGTAACCTCCGGATCATCAGCAGCCTCTTGCAGAAAGAAGAGGAGGAACATGAAGCGAATGCGAGGGAAACAACATCGTCATCATGAGCACCATCGGTAGCAACAGATCCTACTCCTCTCTCCCTCCTCCTCCCTTCGCTCGCCGTACTGCCCCGCCCGCCCCCTCCCTCCCTCCCTCCCTCACCTCTCTCCTCCTCCCTCGTTGCTCCCCTCCGTCCCTCCTCCCCTTTTCCTTCATCCTCCTCCTCTCCGTCCTCCCTCCTCCTCCCTCTCCTCACTCTCGTCACTCGTCTTCGTCGCCAAACTCATCGACATCGCCATCACTGTCATCACCCTCGCTACCATGCTGGTGATGACCACCATCGTCACCCTCGTCATCGTAAGCCGCATCGTCACCATCTTCGTCATACACACCGTCGTCATCATCATCGTCATCACTGGCATCACTCGTCCACCATTTCGAGTGCAAAGGCCAAGCAGCAATGTCGCTGACTTCCACCAATACGGACTTCAGTGTCGGCCCAGGTGGATCCTGTGGTGTGTGTGGGAAGGCGGTGATGAGTGTTGTTAAGGGCGTCACCTGTCTAGACTCAGGGCACAGCATCCTGTCGCACCCCGATTTAGGAGTTCACATATGATATTCCATCCTGCCCGTCGTAGAGGAACAACTTGATCTTGCCGGCGGCTTGCTCCGCAGATGTTTTGACATCAAACTGTCCACCTTAGATTTGGTATGTTCTTTTTTGTTCAACGCCCCTTTTCCTCTCGCCACTTCTGTGTTGATCGGAACGCCTGCTAGGCCCAGGCCTTAAGGCAGACAGCACCTGCGGGGATTCCACAAGTTCGCATTTCAGGATGTTTTTGGTTCGTCACGGATTGAGATGCCAGTGGCTGCGGGCATAGGAACCATAGTTCTTACAGTTGGTCAGTCTTTCGACACGGGCGGGTTTGGGGCTGCAGACCCGAGTGCAAGTGTTTGCAGACCAGGTTGGGAATGCGTAGATTCAGTCACACGCGTGTTTTTTTGCGTCTTGCGGATGGTGGAATTAGTGTTCGATACTTTGGCGGGATTGTGGCGATGCACACGACCCAATCTTGCGCCACTCAACTAATGACCGAATACCGCGACGTGGAAAGGGAGCAGCATCAGGAGCTCTCTCTGTGCCATCGTCCCGGCGAACCGGAAAGTGCAGTGTCTTATCTCAGCAGGGCTGCCGAAACGGAGATCTATTGCAAACACCGCGCGGCAAGCTATTTATCTGTCCCGCCATCTCCAGAGCTGCAAGCAAGAACACGTGCGAGAACTCTATCGTCGTCGTTTCCTCGATGTTGCCCACGCGCCAGTTCCATTCAAGAGGATACCCACCCTTGTTCATCCGTTTTAGACTTGTTTTGCCAGTCATACTCAAAAGAAGCCTGGCTTTCTCCTTTACCCGATGCCCGTCGTTCAAGTGGTGCATCTTTGGGAATCCATACTTGCGACGTGATGTTCACCCTACGGTGTTCCAATTGACATGGCCGCAACATCCTTACCAAACTGTACGCAGCAGACACCAAGGATTCCATCTCTCGGAGAAAGTCGTGAAAACTTCCACTGAATTCAACAGCATCAGCGTCAGCACCATCTGGCCCCTGTAGATATGTTCCGTACTTCTGGTTCTGCAGGCTCACCCTCATGCATACAATGCGTGGATAGCGGGTGTGAAATTGCTCAAGCACACACTGTGGGAATAATGCCGGTATGCTGGTCATACAGGCAAGGTGTTCACATCATATAGGTCATCATCTGCAAGACGGCGTCACCCCCTTCGAGAACAACAGACATCCCCGGCAACCATGCAATACGGCAGTCGCAAAGCTTCGCACCGCCTTCCCTATTGTCACCACCAGCACAAAGGCCGACATGGGACCCAAAATTGCGCAGGAGCATCTCGTTAGTACTATGGCTCCCCAAACTTTCATGGCCTGGCTCATTGGTTTGCGATGCCATTGTTTCGCAAGTCATCGCAGTATTGATTCGTCGTGTGAACATCAATCTCAGCACGTTGCAGAGTTGCTGTGTGCCCCAATACCAACCGTAGCCCAGAGTCGCGAATCATGATTCTCGCATGTCATGTGCCCATCGCTCTTCATCAAGTTCAGGCCCGTCAGAAGCTCTTGGACAGAAGCTTTCGAAGCAGAATCGTCAAGAAGTTGTCGAAGACGGCCTATGGAGTCATCAAGTTAGACTCGGCGGTAGAGTCGAGTTGTTTCATGTGAGATTGCCAGTGTGCGAAGATCATCGTATTTGTGGCCAAACGGGAAAGGTAGCGTACTGGCTCGCGGAGTAACGGTCTGCCTGTCAGGTGCTGCGCATGATCGTTGAGCCAACGCCTGCAAAGCGTGCATACC